GAATCACAACTGAATCCTTCTGGAGCCAGAGCCATTCAAAAAAAACGCAGCTCACATCAGTTTTCTGGAATATATTGTAACTCCACTCTCAGTTCGTTGCACAGAACCCAAGTCATGTTCCTCGCTAGACGTCCATCAGTTCTTTTCGGCATACTTTTTGGGAGAAGAAGTGTGGATTTTCAAAATTACCTGGTCTGGATTAATAGTTGTAGAGCAGGGTTTCCTTCATAAAATGAGATTTTAATCAAGCCTACATAGTTAGTTACGTAGTATATCCTGTTATAGAAAAAGAGAAAGCAAAAATCTACCAATTCCTGTTCCAGTGGTTTTAGTCTTTCAAAAATATTATGTTTCCAATCTCAACATGATACAGAACTAATATACATTTAATTTTACAAAATCAAAGACTGCGCTGTAACTGTGCGTTAGTAACTGATTTGAAAAAGTGGTTGTAACAAGTACAGATGCTTTTGCAACCGAACTAAATTAGTGCGCTGCATGTTTCTTTATTATATTGACTGAAAAAACAATCCTGTAGATAACGAAATATGCATATTATCCCTGTTTTCGTTTCACGACAAAAGGTCGCTAGTTTGTTAGGCACATTTTCAAATACAGCATGCGATAAATAGAACAACGATAAAAATACTTGTGAGTCACATTGAATGACGCACTCATGACAATCTCCTGAGTTGGTCGATTTGTAATACTGTACATTATCATTTTCCTTTATATTATGTAAAACTAGTAAAAACGGTGTCAGCGTCAAACAAAGCTATATGCATAAAAAGCTTCTTAACATGACTGTGATTGAGTGAAATATTTGTATCTTTTGATTTCCGCTCAAGCGTATCGTCGTCCTTTCTCCTTTATCTCCATAGTCACTTCTGTATTCTACAACAATATCAGCACCAGGTAACAAGATAACGGTAGGCCATATTTTTTTAATATATGTTCATCAAATTTGTATAGAAAATTGTATTGTAAACGCTTGTTAGCAACCCTAGAAAAAGCGCGGGTACCAACGCACTCACCTTTATCACGGGATCATGTATGAAAGTCAGGATCTATAAGACAGCTTATGATCTGCGCGACGTGTTAAAATAAGGGGCGCGGAGAGGTTTACAAGACGATTAAACCGGCAACCAAATCTAAACTGTTACTTTTTAAGATAGAACGGAGAACGTCGTTTATCCTTTGATTTTTGAGAAATGAAAATACTTCGACTGTTGTTACGAACTAAACACATTCCAAATATTTCAACGAAAATCAGTTTCAACGATAAGCATCGATGCAGGTAGAAACAAATTGTAATCAATGTGAGAAATAAAAGCATTAAATTCAAACTTTCAAAAAAACTCAAAAGAGTCAGTCGAATAAAGGACAGTGGCAAAATAAAAGCACAAAATCATATATACCCAGGGCGAGGAATCTTGAAATATGATCTTGTACGTTCATACAAGATCTTGTAAGATCATATTATAAGATACCACAAGACTTCACAAGATCTTACAAGATCATATGAAAATCTTACAAGATTCCACAAGAATCTTGGTTCGAGAATCTTATAAGATTTCACAAGATTTTTCTTACAGTAAGATCTTGTGATAAGATCTTGTATGACCTTGCAAGATCTGGCGATAAGATCGTGTAAGAAGTGACAAGATCTTGAAAGATTTCATAAGATCATATAAGATTATGTCTCTGATTCTGTACTATAGCTCCCCATACAGACCCTCTTTAAAAAACAGCTTTTTTCTTTTCATAATATTTTCGAGCATAGGAAGGACCCTGACGTCCTTAGTAACGTGTCTAATCACGTTTCTTATAGCCATGCACTTTATTTGTGCTCAGCTGATGTGTAGAGATGCACCGGTTACGGTTAATCGATGAGCGGTTGTAACCGATATCGTCGATTTCTCGACGCACAACAGTGACTATACATACTGATGAGCCACACTTATTATACACATGTCGTCGACTAGAAACAAAGAAAAGGTCACAGAGAGATAAAGAAAATAATAAGATTCTTCTGGAAAAAAATGTTTATAACATGCCGAAGAGAAACGAGAGGAGAAAAAAAGACATTAAACTCTGTAAACCCATCGATATCAACAATCATTTTCTTGAGAGATACATCATTTACTGTGAAGATAGCAATTCTTGCTTTCTACACCGTAATAAATAAATTTATTTCAAGAAATAGTTTAATTTGCTTATTTGAAATATAGAAGAAGTATAAAAAACGAAGGCTGAAATTTTAGAATTATTTGTCATAAAACTTCTCTGAGAACACGAATTATAACTATCAGTTACAACCGGTACAGGTTACAACCGGTGTAGGTTACAATCGATAACCGGTTACAACCGGTGTAGGTTACAATCGATAACCGGTTACAACCGGTGTAGGTTACAACCGATAACCGGTTACAACCGGTATAGGTTACAACCGATAACCGGTTATAACCGTAACCGGTGCATCTCTACTGATGTGTGCAGTTGGAGAAAGAAAAAATTCTAAGTTTCATCATAAGAACTATGTTTTATATATACTATATATCGTTGCAAAATTGATGTGGTAAGAATGAGTCATCGCTTTTTGTAATTTCTTATAAGATCTTGTAACAAGAAATCGTATGATCTTGTGATAAAAACTGACAAGATCTTGCAAGATCATATAACTTCTTGTTACAAGATCTTATGAGATCTTAAGATTTCTTATAAGCTGATCTTGTAAGATCTTACAACAAGAAGTTACAAAATTCCGCAAGATTATACATGATCTTGGGATAAGATCTTACAAGTTCTTGCCAAAAGATCTTGCAGCAAGATTGCATAAGAAATCGTCAGATCTTATAAAATCTTGTAAGACGTCTTTCCCCTGGGTAGACTGACTCGTTATTTTTATTCGAACAAAAATATATAACGCTTGAAAGGAAATCAAAAGATACAAATATTTCACTCAATCACAGTCATGTTAAGAAGCTTTTTATGCATATAGCTTTGTTTCACGCTCATACCGCTTTTACTAGTTTTACATAATAAAAAGGAAAATGTACAATATTACAAATCGACTAACTCAGGAGATTGTCATGAGTGCGTCATTCAATGTGACTCACAAATATTTTTATCGTTGTTCGATTTATCGCATGCTGAATTTGAGCTTTTAACCTTTTTTTAAGCTTTTACCGGAATGCATAGTACTGAGCAGGTAAAATGGAGTACATGTTGATATTCTGACGTAATTTGCATGAAATTTGACTAGGTTATGAATGTTTTGATTTTACCCAAAATAGACAAAAATGGGCTATTTCGCCTAATATACGTTTTCACTATGTTTCTGCAACTTTTTTGAAACAAAAATGTTGCCACGGGATTCAGCACAGTCGACAACCTATGTTTTTATGATTTGTGGCAGTCTAAACCTAATAACAGAAAAGTCCTAAGACTTCGGCAAAATGGTTAGTAGCGTCCGAACCATGTGAAACCAAATTTTTGCTTAAATCTTATTTTGTATAGGATATTTCGGACTATCTATCCACGGAAAAACACGATAGATTACTATATCGATTTCTAGAAATCCGAGTTGATTTTTCAAAGAAGAAATGCATTTTATTTTGGGATGGATCGCAAGATCTACATTCGTCTGTAAATATGCACAGCAATAATAAACAAACAAACAAACAAACAATAGCTTTTAACAAGTAATAAATAGATAGTATTAAAAGAATTATGAATTATATGTATGTATAATACCCGAAATTAACATTTTAAGTCAGAATTCATATTATGCAGACTTGAAAGTTATACTTACCTTTTAATTCAACCATTACCCGTCACAAGTGACGGTTGTTACCCGTGATCGATAATGGTAACGCTTGATTCGCTACCATTTACTACTAACGGCAACGAAAAGCCGTTAGCGTCACTTGAATAAAGAAGGTAACGGTAACGGGTAACAGTCCACCTCCTGCAACAGACTATCTTCTATCGGTCTACTCAACTCAAAGATCCCTGTTTATCAACGTTATTGGATGGCACCAGTTTTTCTCGGGATTTTGATTAATAACTTTTTGCTTCGCAAAACTAGAAACTGACTGCAAATGAAACTTTAGAATTGACTAGGAGAAAACATTTTATTATTTATTGTTAAGTGTTTTGTAAACCCAGTTTAGTAAACAAACTGAATTTTCAAATTCAAACCTTGCAATAAACAAAATATATTTTCTATGTAAAACCAAAAGTTCCATCAAACGTGTGAGTCATGTAACCTATTTCGAATGCTTCTTGAAAATAATAATGTTTAGTGGAAGTAGCTTAAATTTTTTAGCTTCTACTCAAAACCAAATATTGTCATGAAACTCAACGGGGTTGATAACATATGTAATCAACATATGTTTGTTCATTCATTTTCGAATGTACCAAACCAAAAAAATATTGATAAAAATATTTCGAGGAAAACTTGTGATACATGGAGAGCTGATAGATCGTATTTTTCATTTTCCATAGAAATAAGGTCCCAAGTTTTGATTATTAGATTGCGAAAACCATAGGTTTCCATTCATTTGTAGTCAAACTTTAGTCGTTATATGTACTATAATTTTTGGATAAAGAAAGCCTTAAATCAAACGCTATTTAAAAAAGTGTTAACTACATCGGTTTTTGAGATGGGTAACAGCAGAATATGTCAGAGTGTAGAAATGTCATTTTTCTTCCACAATGATAATTGCAGAACTGATAAATTTTAACCATAGACTCTGCAAATATGCTCCTGCATTAGTGATTAGCGCTCCTACGGTGCGATGTCATAGTGAGCATTCTCAGCGACTAAGACTTGCTCGAGTGGATTTAGATCAGTGTTTAGAGAACAGTATTTAGAATCTCATCAATTAAGAAGCGTGAATTGTAGGGATATTCTCGATTTTTCCCTATCTAAATTGTAGTATTTATCCTTGTATATCCTATATCCTCTTCATCTGCACGGAAAACAAGGAAAATAAATGGATAACAAGGGTACGACGTTCGATGAACGGGGAACGTCCGATGAAGTAGGAATGCCCATTGAAGATGTTCTTCAAGAGTCGAAAATGCCAGCTGTCCTAAGTATTCACGATCGACAAGACTCTGTTCAGATTGAAATTCGAGATCCTCGTAAAGATTCGACAGTAGATTTATTTGCAAATATCGATAAATCAACGTTAGACAATGACGTGCATATCATACCGCTGAATGACCTCTACAGTCGTTTTCATACGGATCCCACACAAGGTTTGACCAACGAACACGCCGAACAAGCTCAGATGGAGTATGGTTTGAATAAGATCACACCACCACCTCAGCGTTCTTATATTATGTTATTTATATTGCAAGCATTTGCTGGCTTCAATTTGATTCTATGGATAGCTGGTGTATTTGCATTTTTAGCTTGGAAACCGTTTGGTGAACCAAATCCATCAATTACCAATTTAGCATTAGGCGTTGTTCTATTTCTCATTATATTAATCAATTCTATATTGAACGTTTATCAAGAAATCAAATCCATTAAAATCGTAGCATCATTTTCGAAATTATTACCTACATTAACAACAGTCCGACGAAATGGTACAGAACAACAAATTGTTGCAGATCAATTAGTACCAGGTGATATTATTTTGATAAGAATTGGTGATAAAATACCAGCTGATTGTCGTATATTGTCATGTGACAGTTTGAAAGTAAATAATTCTGATCTCACGGGTGAATCCAAACCGGTCAATTGTACAGTGAAATGCACAAGTTTAAATTTTATGGAATCTACAAATATTATTTATTATTCGTCGATGATCGTTCAAGGTACTGGCGAAGCGTGTGTAATAGCAACCGGTGACAAAACAGTTCTAGGAAAAATGAATGAACTAACAAGAGGCAGTGGACACGATGAAGTTACTGGACTCCACCGAGAAGTGAATCGTTTTGTACTATTTGTTTGTGTGGCTACGGTCATTGCTATTATTGTATTGTGGATTACTTGGGCCGCGTGGCTGAATAAAGATCAAAAAGGTTTTATCACTGCTGGAGAAAATGTTGTTAACAGTATTGGCATGATCGTCGGCTTCTTACCGATGGGATTGCCGTCCGCTGTTACGCTTGGTAAGTGTCATAATTATCATAGCTTCATCAGAATATGAAGTTTTTCATGAATGAGTTTCGTCTTAGTTTTGACAATCGTGGCTAAACGTATGTATAAACAACGTATTTTGGTCAAAAGTTTACAAATCGTTGAAACGTTTAATGCCGTATCGATGATAGCTACCGATAAAACTGGAACGTTAACTCAAAATAAAATGACTGTTACAGAAATACTCTGTAAGTATACAAAATTACTTATTAAAAATATTTCTAGGAAATATGTTTAAATGTACATTCAGGGGATACCAAGAGTGTCTACAAAGTTCCCGTACCAGAATATACACCAGCCGTAGAGGAAACATTTGTTGACGCTGTACGACGTTTATCTGCTGGTGCTTTAAATACAGCTAGGCGTTTGTCAATTGGTGCTGCTGGTATGGTGAAACGTTTCTCCAGTGGAAATTTAAATCAACCACAAGTAATGGAAGAAGTCGATATTGAACCACAACTTCCGACAATAGCCAGTGACATCAATATTCAGGCATTTCGGGATTTACTAATGGGTGCTGTCCTGTGTAACAATGCTGAAAAACAAATAGTTCAAGAACAAAAACTAGGTATGTATACGACGAGGGATGACTGTAGTCAAATTGTAATGATTTTAGGTCAATTTAGGTCGGAGAAAAGATTCAGTTGTACAATCAGAACTAAAGTTGGTTGGTGATGCAGCTGATAGTGCTCTTTATAATTTATGTGCTGATCGATGCTCAGTTGATGTTCAAAGAGTACGCGAAGTAAATCCTCGATTGAAAATATTACCATTTAATTCAGCTAATAAATTTATGATTACGGGAAATCAGCTGGAATCTTCTCAACAACCTCCGCCAGAAGAAAGCGAACGTATAGTATTAATTACACTCAAAGGTGCCCCCGATATGGTTTTGGATAGATGTTCGACATATAAGACAAATGACGATCATGTATTAGAATTGTCACAACAAGTTCGACAAACATTAGTACAACGACAAGAAGACTTAGGTATGAAATAATATTTTGATCACCGATTTGTCAATAGTGTTACATGTATAGATTTTTGTTTAAGGTAAAAATGGTTATCGTGTGATTGCTATGTGTCAGCAAAGAATGACGAGAAAGCACTATGATCGTATGATGTCACGATATAAACAACAACAGCAGGCACAGCAAGCTGATAATTCACCAAGTTCTCAAGAAGATTTGAGTGGTTTTCCACCTGGAGATTATTGTTTCATTGGCCTCTTCTCATTGTTGGATCCTCCTCGTCCAGAAGTACCAGATGCTGTGTTGAAAGCTCGTCGAGCACAAATACGAGTGGCCATGGTTACTGGTGATCATCCAACAACGGCTCAGGCTATTGCCAAGCAAGTTCATATCCTCACACCAGAAATAGCAGACATCAACGGTATTGAGACGTTCAAATTAAGTGCAAAAGAGGGAAAGGCTATTTTGAATATATATCGAAATGGTCAACTGACAGGAACACATGAGCCAGGCAAAGTATCGCAATTCGAGACGAATTCAAAAAATTTAAAAAACGTGAGCAACCAAGCTGAAGTCAAATCCAAACCCAGCTGCCCAAATCGATTTTGGAACAGTTGTAAATCACAATTTTCTGAACCACAAGCAACTGTGAATCGTGAAAAACAAGAATTAATTCCGTACGCCATTGTTGTGGCAGGTAGTGAAATTCAGTTAATGGACGATTTCATGTGGGATTGGGTACTGTCACATCAAGAGCTTGTATTTGCTCGAACATCACCGGAACAAAAATTAAAAATTGTTATGGAACTTCAACGGCGTGGTGAAGTTGTTGCGGTCACAGGAGATGGTACTAATGATGCACCCGCTTTGAAACGCGCTGATCTCGGTGTGGCAATGCAATCTGGCACAGACGTATCAAAGGAAGCGGGTGATATGATTTTGTTAGATAATAATTTTGCTTCAATTATCAAAGCGATTGAAACGGGAAGATTATTGAGTGATAATTTGAAAAAGGTGGCTGTCTATTTACTTCCAGGCGGTTAGGGCAATATAGCTATTAAGAGACAGGATCCATACTTACGCTTTCTACTTTATAGGCTCTTGGTCTGAAATTTGGCCAGTCTTTTTCAATTTGTGGTTTGGCATGCCACTAGCATTATCAGCCTTTTTAGCCACAATATTTTGCATGTTGAATGGTATGTATAAGTGGACCATTCATCGGTAATCAATGATCAGTACTCTTAATTTTTCAGATGTATTTATGTCGCTGGCCATGGTCACTGAAAAAGCTGAAAAAGATATCATTTCGCGGCCACCTGTTATTCGAAATAAAGATCATTTATTGAATTTAAAATTGTTACTACATGCTTACGGTATCATTGGCAACATTGAATGTTTCACCGCCTTTTTCTGCTTCTTCTACTATCTCATGGATCAGCGCCTTCCGTTTTATTCAATTGTATTTCAATTTCAAAATTTTTATAAGAAAAATTCTCAATTTACTCAAGATCAATTAAATGTCATGGTTTTTACGGGCCAGAGTGTCTATTACTGTTCAATGTGTTTAATGCAATTTTTCAATTTTTTTACTACACGTACTCGACACACATCCTTTTTCAAACATAATCCATTTTATGGTAAAGGGCAAAATTTGTATGTATTTATCAGTATGGCTGCATCGGCCGGTACACAGTTAATCGTCACACAAGTTCACTGGTTCAACAGAGTATTTTCCACTGGACCTGTACCCGTCAAATATGTCATGCCGACATTAGGCTTTGGTCTAGCATGGTTTATTACTGATGAACTTAGGAAATTATACATTCGGAAATTTCCACGATCATTTCTAGCTAGAATAGCATGGTAAAAACTCTAATTATGTTTCAAATTTAAAATATGTAGACTTAGCTAACAGACTCAAGTTCAATTGTCTTACTAGGAAACATTCTTAATTATTTATCACCCATTTGACTGCTTATAAATTTTCAATTATTATCGTTGCTAATCACGAATATGATGTCCAGTTTTATACATATGCCTTTATAGAGACCGTAGATCCGTCCCGAACTTCTGGTTGCAGAGATTCTCATACATCGAAGTTGCAGAGCGCATTGTACTTCGAGTGCAGAAATATTCTCAGATCAAACAAACAATTTTCACAGAATTACAAAACTTGTTACGAAAGTTAGAAATAAATATTCCTAGCAAGATAGCTATGAATTTCCTGACAAGATCTTAAACATATCCTTCCAGTATCCTATTAGGATTTCACTTGGATTATCCAGAATCCTAGCAAAATCCTATACAATCCTAATAGAATCACAGGTATCAGTCGTAGGATTTGCCAGAACTCTGTTAGAATCAGAATAGGATCGTAGCAAGAAAATACGATTATTAAAAAAAATATTATAATCTTACGTGAATCATAAGAGAGTCTTAAATACTAGGATCCTAGTAGGAAAATATATAGGAAGTGTGTACGATTTTCACTAGGATGATGTCTCTATCTAGATAAAGATTCTCTTTCATTCGGAGAAAGACTTTTCACTCGAAATACGATGTGCTCTGCAATCTAGATGGATTTGAGTCTGTTGACCTAAGGGTTTCTGATAAATAAAGCCATAAGAAAGAAACGGGACATCATGTTCATGATCAGCATCGACATTCACTTTCGAAAACTTATAATACAGTAAAATGGGCGACGAGCATCTGGGAATTTTGCTGTGTTAGTACTTCTACTAAAAGTGCAGCAGCGTTAGGGGTTTGGATGGACAAGCGTTTCATTTCGAGAAGAAACACTATTGCACAAAATGTAAGAATTAAAAAAGCTTTAACTTCTGGAATGCAGAACTGGGGACGATTACTTCTAGTTCAGTCAAAATTTCTGTGCAGATCTGGTAGTCTTTTAAGTACGCAAAAAATATTTACTTTTGGGCAGTTTTACAGGAAAGGAAATGTGTTTAAGCTTGAAGATGTATTCCCTTAATTATGTAATTCTGCTTTGTAGTTATTCTTCTTTCTATTTCTTTATTCTCTAAAAATTCTATTTTTGGTATTGTTTATTGTAATAGTTTGATATGTATTTTCAATAACTCTAAACAAAATACTTTTTCTTTACAGCGATCTGTCTATGTTTTGTTCATAAACATGTATTTATTTTATTATAACAAAATACTTTTTCCAGACGTATGTTCTTGTTTTTCCAACACTGTTCATTTTCTGATTATCGTATCGGTCTTTTTCTTTAAATAAGTGGAATGTAAGACATTATTAAATTGTACGATGGTTTTAAAGCATGCCGTACAGAACAAATGTGAGGTTCACAAGCGTTCGAACAAAGGTTTACTCTACAGATTTTGTTGAAAATACAAGTTTTTACCTATAACATGGCATCACGAGAGTAACAAAGCTTGTATTCTAGAATAATAGATTACTATATACTATACAAAGAACAAAGTTGCACAACATGTAATCGATACATTAAATGAAACTAATGATGAATCTATAAAATTACAGATTTCATTAGAAAAGAACTAAATAACTATAATCTAATCGAGGATTTTGTATCTAGTTGATCATAAACACACAACATCATCACATCCGCGGGTGTGAGATGATTTAGTTGATGAAACTGTGTGCTACGGCAGAAGCCAGGAAAAGGTTTTGGCACAACTTTAACATTCTACCCGACACCATGACAGTTTCTCCGGTAGTCCCATGCGTTTATGATTCATTTAAGAGAATATTCTCATTCGGTATGAGGAATCCATCGAAAATCGACGAGCATTACATCGACTTTCACCACAAAATTGAAGATCTATCTCATTCGAAAGAGTATAAGATCCCGATAAAGTAAATGTCCTTTGAAACATATGAAAGCATCAGTCCTAACTTAACCTGGAGCAAAGTATCCTTAAAGTCGTGTTGTGATCCATATTTAAGACCCTATCCTCCCTCAGAAATACAATTGTTTTTTAAAAAGCCGATATTGAGCTAAGCACATCATCAGATAGCCCACGGTGTCGACTATCAGGATACATAGTTATTTAGTCTTCGTCGAAGGGATACGAATGAAGGCTTTCAGAAAACTTTTCTGAAAACCTTGAGAAACTCACTTTTCGAAAACGTTTGCTCTCCTACAAAAAAACAATCCCAAACGTATTTCTAGTGACATCAGAATATAGAGCAAAGATTTCTGATCAAAATGAGATATCTCCCAGCTCCGAATGATGTCCTAATCAAAAGTTATGGGAGTTTTGCTATAAGTCCTGAAACATGCAGCAGACACTGACGTGATCATATCTCGACAGCGAAGTTCACCTAAATATCATTTCGTCGCAGCAAGATTTCTAGATTGTGCTTACAGAAACATTCTTGTGCAAGTTAATGATACTTTTTCGAATTTTTGACTACTTCAAGCTCTCCACCACGTTTCGTTATCTAGAAAGCTAGCAGCTGCGAACAGCCGTATTTTGACCCCTAGCTGAGCGACATCTCCGAAACGTTGATAGATACGGTGTCCAAAACTTTCTCAGAAGTGTACAATCATAAGATTTACATTGCCTGAAAGTTCGATTGAGACCTAACTTACGGCTACCAAGATGCGTATCTGATGAGGGGAGGGAACTTAAATGAATGAAAGCATCTGTAGTTTATTTTAGACTATTAACCACGTGCATTTATTAAACAAATGTAAGGGAAAAAAGAACATAACAACGAAGATATGATGCGTGACAAGACACTAAGAACAAAGCGATATTATTTTTTTCAACATAGTTATACTATATCTAAATGTTTATATTTCTGTAATTGTAAGTAAGGATACGGTATTTAGATTAACTACATCAGACTTTAATTGGACATATCTCTTCGTAATACAATCATTAGACTAGCATAAACTGATTTTTATAACTCATTTTCACTTACATCACAAAAAAGTACATTTTTCTCTGCAATATATTCCATTGATTTTAAAAATTTTAGTTACTTATATTTTTTTACTGTCAAGTTTATAACTGATACACAGCGAAGGATTTTGTTTTGTATATATTACTCCACAAGAGTAGCTTCACTGTAACTCAAGAATTATGGTAACTAGAGACTCCTAATTTTTCGTACTCATAGCCCTTGCTGAATACTGATCACCCACCAAGTTTAAACCTTTGCTACTGGTTAGCAAGATAAAAGTGATTCATTTCTTTCTGTGAGCTGTTAATGGTCAGTGAAATACAGCTATTTTACGGGCGAGGGTCCCGGTTTTTTGTTGAAAGTTCGAGATTCTTTGCAAAAAAAATTCATCACTCAGCCTAAGAGAATCATTTTGGATTCAAATTCGTACCAAAGACTCCGCATTGTCTGTAAACTGTCCAACTAAAGTATGAAGGTTAGCGATTGTGTGATTCTACGAATTACTGAGAACGAGCACTCATGATTGAAACGTACGTAGAAGGGGGTAGAGCACTGCAGATTATGGCTTTTTGGCAACCTATAACCTAACTTATAAAAACTTTCATAACCTCAACCTAATCTAACTAATAAATTTTTTTCGTAACCTAACCTAGGTTAACCTAATTTAGCTTATGCGATTTTTTCTGGAAGAAGTCAATCAAAAAAAACCATCAAATTTTTTTAAACTACGTGAAAGCAAAAGGTCGTCCACAACATCACCATTCAAAGATTGTCTTCTTTGTTCTGATAAACGACCATTTGCGCTGAATAGACGCTCGAATGTTGATTCTGTTATCGTTGGACATCCACCATCTTTTAAAAAACATAGAATTCCTTTATTTACTCTTCCATTTCCTTTTTCGATGCTGTCATCTTTCACGCTTATTAGTTCAATTTAAATTTAAATTAGCGAACACAAATCAAAATTTTATCAAAGATATTTTAAGCGATGGAAGAAGTGCAGAGAAAGAAAAAGAGAGACAAGAAGAATAAATGCATGCCTGATCTGTGCCACTGATCAGTTACTTGGTCCAATAAAATTACGCTTTATTCCTAAAGTATTGAGTATTCCAGTGGGACGCTCAAAATTGTTTTTTCGTTTAGGTTGAAAATCGGTTATCAACATAGCTTATAACCTTCCCTAATCAATAAATTTGCAACCTAAGCCTAACCTAACCTATAGGTTAGGTTGGGCTTAGCTTACAGGGTTCTAGGCGAGAGCGAGAAACTCAGGATCGCCCTTTCTACTATAGAATCTACATTCAATGTACGTCATAACTATGAAAAAATAATCATAGAAATTCACGGTTCCGAAACCGCAGATGAAACTTTTGTCAGAAAGATTACATAGTCACCTCTAATCTACAGCAAACATTTTCAATGGAATTTATTTGTTCAAAACCGAGTGTTAAGTATGCTGTTCAATCCAGTTTTGTCTTGTGGTCTTAAATACGTTATTAGTTTTTCTTGGAAATCTTCCAAAGTAAGAAAATATTTTGTATCACTCTTAACTACAGAATCATATTGAGCAGAAAAAATAGAGTATACCTTGATATTCTGAGGTGGTTTGGATCTGTTTTAGCTGACTTATAAATTTTCTAATTTTACGTGAAAGTCGGCAAAAATGGGTTATTCCACAAAATATAGATTTTCATTAGACACTAGATTTCTGAACTTTTTTCGGAAAACAAATGCTGTCACAAGATTCAATGGGATCGATAACCTTTGTTTCCAGATTACGGCGTCACTCATGTCACTTTTTGAAGAAAACACTTTCTTCTATCTACTGATATTAAAAGATCGATTGTTTAGGGTTTAAATTTTCCAGTTATGTACGAGTTTTCCAGAAAACTCATGAAAAACCTGTTTTTGAAAAAATCTATACAAAGGTTTTTTTAAAGCGATGCTACATAATCCCCT